TCCTAATCATTGTTTTCGAAAACGGGAAGAAGTATTTGCATTTTTTTAATTCCAATTAAGTTAGAATAGTATTTTGACTGTAGAATATCTTGTTCTTTCATATTTTTTTGCGTTATTTTATAGGATTATTTGCATTGCTGTTAGGATAAAAAAAAAAGTTTTAACATTGCATGCATTTATAAATAGTTTAATAAATGATATAAGTAATTTTTAATTTATCTGCAGACGAAATATTTTCACAAGAATTGTGATGATTCACCGGAAAAGACTTAAGCAATGCTCAAGTGGCGTAATTAAGTGATATTGATCATTAAGTTATTTTTATTTAATGGAATAAGCGTGTTAAAACGGTTCTAGAGTTTTTGACCTTAAGGTGACTGACTGCGATCGGAAGTAAAATTTTTGAAAAATTCGTATTATTTTCAGAGTTTAAGATCCATTGAATTAATGAAGGGTGTTTTTTGTTAAAATTTTTCTACTCTGGTATAATAAAATATGAATGCATTTACTTCTAAATTATATACAGTGGAAATATTTTAACATGAAACTGAGGAAACTGAAATATTTTTTCGTGTTAAAGGTTAGTGCAAAAAAAAGATTCCCATGCAAGGCCAAAACAAAAATAAAACCATATATTCAACAAAATTATGTTTATTAGAGTAGATTTTATTTACATAAAGCTCTGGCTCAAACTTACTATGTTCAAACATTTCCGTAATTTGCTCTATTTTTTTGTAATTATTGTTGATAATGTTGAGCCATGTAGCAGTACTAACATATTTACAGGTTTCCGTTTTCGTCTTCTGTTTTTGATTAATAGCCTTAAGAAGCTCTATCTTCATTTTAAGCGAAGTAGAAGTTTGCTTTCTCCCGAGCTATTTTCTATTGTTCTCGTAAAAAGATCCTCTTAAAATGTATATTTTTCAATCATTGATTTTTAAGCTGCGTTGTGCTAAAGCCAACTGAAGAGAAATGAAATGTTTTTGTGTGGCGTCTTCAGGGGGGGGGGGGGATTGCTTAGATTAACAAAATTGGTTCGTGTCACAGACTATATATATATTCTGAGGGTATTTCAAAGCCAAGTTAGTCTCCTTTCTACGAAACACGGGAAGCCGCCTCTCTTTCATTTCACACCCCTCTTAAATCACACTTGCGTGCCTGGTGTTTTCTGTATTTTGTTCAGTCCCAGAAGGAAAATCTTTTCGTGTTAAGCGATTTTCGTTTCGTATTGAGAGAAAAAAAATTACATAGAAGTTTGTCGGAACCTTTGTATTGTTTCGTGTTAACCGATATTTCGTCAAAAGCGTTTTCGCGTTAAACGTATTTCACTGTATTATAAACGAAAATGTTAATTTGAAATGCAACAATCTTCTTGATTGCGACCTCCTGCTCACATGCATGTGGCTCTTTCTATAAATGGCTCTTTCATACCTTTGTTACCTTGTTTTCCTTGCAGCTTGGCGCTTCGCACCATAAGTTTGCCAACCACTGCCTTTAAGTTTTCAATGCAGTGGCGTAACCTACACCCCTGCGTTGCTGGGGGGCGGGTGGACTCTAGGGGGCCCAAAGTTTAACTGATGCCAAGCACGTACCCTTTGTAAGATCCAGACTTGGGGCATGAAACCTGACTTTGCAGTGAGGGGGGCTAATATTCTCCGTTACGCCACTGGTTCAATGTGTTAGTGACAATAATTCATCTTTTGGTCTCAACGTTTTCTATCGTTAATGCTTTTTCTAAAAGTTCCTTGTAGCTTTTCCTTTAAAATAAATCACTGATAATGTATATATATATATTTTTAAAAAAACTTAACTCGGACGGTAGAATTTCGTAAAGACCAAAAAAAAAAAAAAAAAATTTATTTGAACTTCATCTTGTTTTTCTTATTAAAGGGAAAAAACCTTTTACGTTATCAAATACCATTTTATGTTTTTATATACCGTATAAGTAGGAAGATAAATGCTTCCGAATATTTGCTAGGTTACCGAAAAGATATTGAACAGACGCATTGCTTTTAACGTTTATAAGAAAGTATTTTAAGTCAAACATATATTTAAGTCTTTTTTTTTTCTATATACGACTTAAAATTTCTTTTCATTAGTTTTTGTTTTACTACAGAAACTTTTCACTCGTTTCATAGAAAAATGTTATTAAATGTTTGAAAAAATTTAGAATAAAAATATAGCCCTTTTTTAAACTAAGGTACGGATTTTCTTAGGCTATCATATATTTTTTGAGAATTGAATGTAATGATCATACTTCTTTTTTAACACGCTTTTATTAGCTTCACCTGTATGCAACGGAATCTTTTAACTCAATTTTCATCCACTTTAAAAGGTCAGATTTATTCGAAGTTTTGCACACTTGTCAATACAATACAATAATTTAATAATTTTGTTCCATTGTCCTAATCAGAATCATCAGGGTTAACGATTTCCCATTTCCTGATGTGGCGACTAAAAGATTAAGTTACAACCCTAAATCGAAAACGCTGAAG